TTTTCCTTATTCACTTTCTCCACATCACTCATGATCATACCTCTATCATATCCCCCCTTATAGTTAGAAAGTTTTTCCTAATATCCAACCTAAATCTCCCTAGCTGCAATTAAGCCCATTACTTCTTGTCCTATATTCAATAGACATGGAGAACAATTTATCACTGTCCTTTTTATAACCGCCCTTAAGATACTGAAAGACTGTTATCAGGTTTCCCCTCAATCTTCTTTTCTCAAGACTAAACATGCCCAATTTTTTTCAACCTTTCCTCATAGGTGAGGTTTTCTAGACCTTTTAGCATTTTTGTTGCTCCTCTCTGGACTGTCTCCAATTTGTCCACATCCTTCCTTAATTGCGGTGCCCAGAATTGGACACAGTACTCCAGCTGGGAGTATTTGGCAAGTGGGCAAGGTAGTTAATGTGATCATCATCCTTTTTTTTTTTTTTTTTTTTTTTTTTAGATCAGCAAATAAATAACACTAGCTATGAAGTCCAAAAGGTCACTTCTGAGTAGACTACTATGGCCAGATACATTTCAAACAGATCATGGACAAATACAGTAAAGGCATTTTTGCATTCCTTGAATATTATAGTTATTTGGCCAGCAGCAAGCTGAGATTTATCATGTTTGTATTATAAATAGTATTTGCATTAACCATGAAAGCGAAGTATTTATGGTTATAAAAGACCAAAAAATCTGCTAATATGACCACAAGCAAACTGTAAATCCTCATCAGGAGAACTGATTTGTGCTCTTATTAGAACAACATTTGCAATTTATATAACGAGTTTAATCCAAAGTTCTCAAAGCACTTCAGTGACATGAATTAAACCACACAATATTCCTGTAAAATATCACCATACTTATCTTGGAGATCAGGAAACAGAGGCACAATGACTCAAAGCCCAGTGCAAAATTATTGTAATAAATAGCAAGACTCCCATTGACTTCAGTGGGTGTTGGATCAGACCTTGTGCATGATCACAGCAAATCACTGGTCAGGAGCTCTGACTCCCATTTCCCACTATTCTAGCCATTAGATCCCACTTCTTCTCGCTGTAATGTCTTGGAGCGGCAATCAATGGTATCTGTCAGAAATAAATTGTGGTAGAATCTTCCCTCCCCCCGCTTATACCATATCCATCACTGTGTATATTAATAAATGTGTAAGACCAAAAGCGGCAATTACAATAATCTAAATTGACATCCTGCACAGCACAGGCCATAGAATTTCACCCAGTAATTCCCACAGCAAGCCCATAACTTGTGGTTGAGCTAGAGTATATCTTCTAGAAAGAGACAGACACTCTTGATTTAAAGACTTTGAGTGATGAAAAAATCTGTCACATCCTGAAGTAAATTGCTCCAATCATTAATTAATGTCACTGTTAAAAAATTGCACTTTAATCCTAGTTTGTTTGTCTAGCTTTAGCTTCCAGTCATTGGCTCTGTAATATCTGAATGCCTCCCAAATAGAATACGAGGATTAGTCCAACATGTAGACTAGATGTCTTCCTCCTCCCCAAAATGTGGCTAGAAGCTTTATTACATAGTGTATTGTATATTATTAAGGTGTATACCTCTTCTCTTCATTCTACTGCCTTAGCCTTAGAACTTTTGCTGTGGCAAAGATAGGCTAGAGAAGTGGATTTTCCATTTTTTTCCTGAAAGTGGGGAGACCCATGGTCATTCTCAACTCCTCCCAGCAGGGAGGGAGTTCCATAGCACTGGGCCAGCTGCTGGAAAAAGCTCTGTCCCCTTGGTTGACAATTTCATAGTCCCAGTGAAACTTAGCTCCTGAAGGAACTTGGGGTTCCCGAGCAAGAGGCATTTTTATGTAGCTTGGTCCATGGTCATGGAAGTCCCTAAAGATGAGGACCAAGTTGAAGTGTCTATGGAGTGTTCTATGTGGAGCCAGTGCAGTGAGCAGAGTGCTGGGAGGAGGTATGTTCAGCAACCACGGTGGCTAAGGATGCTGTATTCTAGAGCAGTTGGAGCATTATGGTCAGTTCACTCGTTCCCACGTACAGTGAGCTGCATGGGACTCACAAAGGCAGGCCTTCCACTGTGCCCAAGTCATGGCCCAGCAGTATGGGGCCAAACTTCAAGCCAACCTCAGATGGCAGGAGGAGTCCCGGGAGCCATAGCTTGTAGTTCCCAATAGGAGTGGAGGGTCAAGCAGAACCCCAAGCTTTGACTATTTGGGGAATCTCTAAAAAGGGGGAGCTGCTGTTTTGGTGACTAAACCTTCAAAACGTTTATGGCTTCCCACCAACACAATTCTGTCTCGCTCGAACCAAGTTTCAGTCTGCTGCTTTTCATGCAGTTGCTGATCTAGGCAATGAGCTATTTGGTTGATGGTTCTATTAGTGGGGGAGGTAAGCAAGACAGAGCTGGGTGTCATCCGTGTTGCTGTTGCAAGCATAATTTTTGACAAGTTTCTCCCTAAAATGGAGGAGTCATGTGGTTCAGGCACAGGACTAGGCACCAGGAGAGCTGAGTTTTACCCCCAGCTTTGCCACAGGCTTTCTGAGTGATGCTAGGAGCTATTTGTGCCTCAGTTTCTCCATATGTAAAGGGGGGTAATGATTCTCTACCTTTCAAAGGTGATGTGCGGGACATTCAGAAACTATAGTGATGAGCACCATAGGAATGCCAATAAGGGCAAACTGAAAAGTGCAGGCTGTCTTCTTATAATAAGTATAATGCAATACATGTCTGTGCGTGATGAAGATTTTGAAGTTTCTTTATCAGTGACAGGTACATCTGTGGGTATCTCTGAACCATGCTGATGAAAAGATAAGTTACAATGCCAGTACCAGTTACTGCAACACTTCTTATTACTCTGGAAAGCCGCTCATGCAGAAGAAATGGGATGTATTTTATTTACATGAAACCACTACAAACAATAGAGGACTGGAGCTCTGAATAGGTGACTAGTAATGTTGGTGCTCAAGGGTCAAGCAACACTATAACAACCAGCACAGACACAGTAATTGGTAACATGCCCAGACTGTGCAAAGACAGTGAATCACTCTTTCCTATCTCTAGCATTGTGTTATTAAAGATAAATTGGGTTTCTAATTGCTAAGTGAAATGTTGTCATGATCGAAGAGCCTTTCCCTGCTTTCTTCTTTTCCAATTGCAGTTGGTGTTTCCTAATAAAATAGTTCATGAGCCAAACCCCTCCCAGGCCCTCAGAAGCAGCGTGCTAATGCAACACCACAAGGGACAGCCTTACAATTAATAGGAACCCAACCAATGAAGTTGTCATAGCTCTTCCACTGCAAGGGAATTGAATCAAGTCTTGTGTGCTTTCCCAGTCAGTCCTGGAAAATCAGACTGTTACTAGATTTGGATCTGAAATAAGGGTAGTCCCCCATAACACGGTACAGACTGACACACTGGAAAAGTTAAGATCAAATAAAATTAGAATTTAAGATCCTCACCTAACTTAAGCCTAAACATTTTCTGCTGCCATTGAGCTGATCAGATCATTCCCATTGTATTTTTTTAAAAAAAGAGCAGAGGATTCTGAAAATTAATTCATTATTCATAAATATTTTTGTTTGCAAACTAGCAATTTCTTGCAATGATGTAACACTTTTTTTCCTGTTTCAGTATTGTGCACAGCATAAACATCATACATTATCACAGTAGACCAGTTATATTGTAACATACATTGTGAAATCATTTTTCTTCTGGGTATATTCAGCTTGATTGTGCAAAATACAAAAAGCACAGAACATGATGAAATTGAACAGTAATAAAGTTACAAAAGCAAAATAAACTATGAACTGTAATGGAGGACCTGATACAACAAAAGAAGCTAGGGCTTTTTCCATTCAAAAATATTTTCCAAAATATATTCATTTCTAAGTCACAAAGGATGGGGTACAGATAAAAATCATGTGTGAAAAGCACTTAGCTCTTACCAACAAAATACTAGACTATTTAAACTGAATGTGTAAATTCTAACTTACATTTCTTTCTTTAGGATGATGATTTTCTTTTAGCCGCTCACTCAGTTTGGACAATGAAACAAACTTGTTCAGTTTGCTAGCTTTTTTTTTTTTTTAATATATATATAATCAGCTTCATTTTGTGCTTTTCTGGCATTTTTAGATGAGCTCAGGGCTTTTGTGTTTGGGACTCCTCCGCCACGGCAGAGAAAAGTTCAGATCAAGACACAAACTTGTTTCCACTTTAATTCATAAAAACTTGTGAAAACCCTTGTTCACATTTACATCCCCAACCCGCCATCATTTGAATGCAATTCTGGGTGCAATTCTGCCTTTCAGGTACTGGCACATAGTGAGGCAGAAGGGAGGGACAACGCTTTCTGAATCTCTCTCTCACGCATGCATGTAACACCAACAGACCACCGTTGTCGGCGGACGGGATTGAACGGGGGACCTCTTGCGCTAAATGCATGAGCCGCTACTGCATGAGCTAAAAGCCATATGCCCCTTAGCTAAGGCTGTAGAGCAGACTCATTAATCTCTCTCTCTCTAAGTGGTCACGGTGCCAGTAGATGGGACAGAACATCATACCCAGGAGGTGTGTGGGTTACACGCATGCACACCCACACTCACAGAGTGTGCCATCCCTTCTGTGGCCATGGCCTCACCTCCCGCCCAACCTTTTTGGGGTGGCTCATACTTCTAGCCGCATTAGCCAACAGTCTTTGTGTTGTGGGGAGCATGAGGATTGCATTTATGGTTTGGTCCGATGTGAAGTGACACACAGGGGAATGGGAAAGCTCATTGTACCCTTCCCTCTTTTCCCCAAGTTCACGCATCCCCACAGGTGCAGGGACAACGTGGCCCTACATTTGGGTGTAATTTACATGGTACTGTCCATTTTCCACATCCCACACACTAAGAAAGGTGTTGAGTAAGAAGCACAAGCCCCTCTTGTCTGTGGAATCTGTTAATGTTGTAGTGCCTGGGTGAAGGTTTTCCCATGGAGCACACAGTTGGGATGGCTCCCAAAAGCTTCACACCACATTCTTTAAGGCTGGTTTTGGCTGTAACTGAGGGTATATTTTGGGAGGGGGGACTGGTGACCTGCCTGGTGAGGATGATCCCCTGCCCCCAGCTCCATCTTTTGGCTTGTGTAATTTCAGGCTATCCTGGCTAGAAGTTTCTGCCTTCCCTTCTGAGGGCTTTGTTGCCATGTTATTCTCTGCTGCCAGCTCTCTGACAGTTGTTCCAGCTTCTTGCTTGCTTGCAGTCCTCATTCTGTCTTTCCCTTCACTGCTGTTTGCTGGGGCAGTTGAAATTACCTGTGCAAGCGGATCCTTTATTCCTGGTTCCACTGACTCCTTTGTATCTTTCCATCTTCGGGCCCCAGATTTTGAATTGTATTCATACATTTTGCCAGTTACTGGGTAGGGGGGAAAAACACAAACAGTTAAACTATTTCTCCTTTTAGCAGACCAATGGGAGGAAGTTCCCCTCAGTGTGTCAGTTAACAAGGAGTAAATCTCATGAAAAGGTCTGGAAGCTCCAGTCAGTTTGGCAAGCCCAACTTCTTCATCTAAGTCCTAGATTTGCTATTTTAACTATACAGGTATAGTAAAGCAGCAAAACTCCACTACTGTGGATTCAGTTATAGAGGTGCGGAGGTGTAATTATAGGCAATGCCCCTAGTTCCCCTGGTCCCTTGTCCCTTTAACAAGTAAGGAGTAATTTAGACAATAAGGTAATTACACTGGACACTAGGAAATTTCTCTTCAGATCTGTGGAGAGTAAATGAGCTGAAGGAGTGGATGCCTGTTTCCAGTGTACAAGAGAAAAGTCACTATTAAAGTCTACAGAGGGCTATAAGTACTTTCGAACAAAGCACTATTGCACAGTGCACTAAAGTACCAAAGATTTGAGACTATACAATCTGTAACTGAGTTCCCCCCAGCAGGTAAACAGAGAGAACACATTGTTCCATTATCTTTCACTGCGGTATAGAGCATCTGTCAGGGAAAAAGTATTCTAGGCAAATTATAAGTCAATGAATAGGCCAGATTTTGGGGATGCCAGATCTCTGAGCCTGGGGTCAACTTGGACCAACTAACCTAAGTTTAAAGGTGTTAAACGATGTCTACAATAGATGCCATGTTGTGTTTCAAATTGTTTTTTCAAATAGGTTTGCTACCTCGAAGTAGCTAACTATCACACACTGAGTCTTTCCTAGTCTAGACAATAGTGTGTTTTAGGGCTGGTCTACACTACATCGTTATACCAGGATATGTACATCGGTTAAGGGTGTGGTTTGTTGTTTTTTTTAAACCAATAAACTACAGGAAGCCCTAGTGTGGACACAGCTATAACCTTATAAAAATGTCTAATACTGGTATAGCTTATTCAGCTTCCTAAACCTGGTGCCCAGCTGGAAATGTTTTTCAAGAAGGAGACTGAAACTATAAAAAGGAGGGACAAACACCCTAAGGCACCCCTCTCTCTTCCTGCCCATCGCATTCATGGTACCTGAAGCGACAAAAGAAGCATTCATTGGGCACTGGGAAAAGGGAACCTGACATAAGCAGTGTGTCTGGCAGGCTGCAGGTACACCCAGAGTGTCTACATGTGGCTTGCATGCTGGAAGGCTGTTTGTGAGTGGCCCAGGTGGGAGCTACTTCAGCAAGGCATTGTAAGGCACCCAAGATTGCAGGGCAGGGGTGACACCGCTGCTCATTAGTCTGGATTGTACCCTGGATTGTATGTCACAGGTGGAGATTCCAGTACCGGGTTTACCATGGCACCGGGCCCACGCTCCAAAGGGGCCCTGGCCTGGCCCGCTCTTCTCCTCCCCCCACTCTCTCATGAGGGGGACAGCGGGCAGAAGCTTGGTCCTGCCGGCTCCTGCTGCAGGGCAGGCTCCGCCTCTTCCCCAGAGCGCGCTGCATTCCTGCCCCTCCCCCTCCCAGCGCTTCCCCCGCTGCCGAACAGCTGTTCGCCGGTGCGAGGGAGGGGGAGGAGCGGGGCTGCAGCGCGCTCACTGCTCTGGGGAGGAGGCGGAGAAAAGGCAGGGGCGGGGCCTTGGGGAAGGGGGTGGAATCGAGGCATACCTCCTCCAGCCCCCCGCCGTGAGCCACTCAGGGCAGGGGGCTGGGAGCACCCCCACACTCCCAGCCCCCTGCCCTGACTCCTGCACCCCCACCCCCATGCCCTGACTCCTGCATCCCCACACACATTCCCACATGCACCCCTTCCACCAAACAGGAGCTGCCCCAGGTAAGCGCTCCACATCCCAACCTCCTGCCCCAACCCTGAGCCCCCTCCCTCACCCTAACTCCTGGCCAGACCCTGCACCCCTGTCAGCCAGTCTCTATGCAGACAGCATCACACCTGCCTAGGGCTCTGCAACAATCACACAACCTTATCCCACCACCTAGATACTTAAGAAATGCATAGGGGAAACTGAGGCACCAACACAGTATTCAGAGAAAACATTAAGAACATTCCAACTTCATCACACTGGAGGAGGGGCAGCTCAGTGCAGAGAGAGATGAAGAGAATGGGCTAGAAGCAGGGAGAAGGTAGGTACCCGCTCTATGTGGGCAGGGGTGGGGGGGAATCCTGTTTACCCCCTCCCCAGCCCTGCTGCACTTGCAGTTTACCCCCAGCCTATCCCTTGCTCCAGGGACCAACCCTAGCTCCTGCCCTGCTGTGCTTTTGCCCCCGGCCCCTGCCTTGCTCCAGTCAGCAAGAACTAATCCTCCCCCCATTCCCCACTGTGCTCATCTTGCCCCTGGCCCCTGCCTTGCTCCAGCTGGGGACCAATCCTTTCCCCCCACACCATGCCCCGCTGTCAGGGTGGATAAAAATCAATGATTTTAAAAAAAAATCAAAAAATTGGATTTTTTAAAATTTAAATTGGATTTTTTTGATAAAATGCTTTTTGAGGAAAAAAACCTATCTAAAGATAGTTTTAATTAAGATACATTATAGCTCATCATGGAATAGGGATTATAAATTCTAATTCTATAGTATGAGACAATATATTCATGTAATGTTTAAGAAAAGTTTTGTAAATGAGTTCTCATAGTTCATGGATTAGAGACCCAATCCTATGGGGTTCCACAGGCTTCTGTATAGATTATTTAGGTTAATCTTTCTATCTACCCAATGGGACTCAGTGCTCAGTCTAGAAGATACCATCAGAGATGCTTAGTTTTGCAATTCTCAAACTGGATTTGTGTCTCCAGAGGTAACATGCTTGTTAACAGCAAAAATGTTTTAAAATAAATAAATAATATATGGAGGTGAGAAATAACAGACCTCAACTCTATTGTCCCTCTGGAAATTTGTGTACACAGAGTCAATCCCTTACCTCTCTCTAAAAGTGAAAACTTTCAAAAAGTTCAATGAATAGAAGATTGTTGGGAGCGGAATAGATCTGGACAAGAAGTCTGGAGATAAATGTGAGAAGCGAGGGACGTATGCTTTTTTGTTAAAATATTATGTTTGCTGTTGAAGAAAAAAATCCAGAATACTTAACGTTGTTGTTTTAGTTAAATAAAACAATTTAAGTGTCTGTCTGGTGATGTTCTTCTCCTAATACAGCATGGCAAGAAAATCCTCCAAATATTAATGATTAACCGGTTGAATTGGAGATAGTTCACCTCCCAATGACTTCATAAATATCTGCTTCAATTACCTTTTGTAAATGAAATAACCAAACAATCATTCATTTTCTGATATAGCTGTAAAACTAATCTGAAAATTTTTCAAAATAAATCACTGTTTAAAAATGTATAGTGTGTACCTTCTAAAAATGAAACCTACATCTATCTCTGAGTTGTGAAGAATATGTATTAAGGTTATAACAACCAACAAGAATGCACTTTTATGTAGAAAACCATGATTATATTGAGTCTTCCTTTTGTTTGGCGTCAGGCCCACAAAAAGTTAATCCGGCCCTTGGAGCTTCCATAACCTTCCTAGGTAATTTGTTCCAGTGCTTAACTACCCTGATAGGAAGGTTTTTCTAATGTCTAACCTAAATCTCCCTTGCTGCAATTTAAGCCCATTGCTTCTTGTTCTGTCCTCAGTGGATAAGAACAATTTATTATACTCCCCTTTATAGCAACCTTTTACATACTTGAAGACTATTATGTCCATGCTCAGTCCTCTCTTCTCCAGACTAAACAAATCCAGTTTTTTCAATCTTTCATCATAGGTCATGTTTTCTAGGCCATTAGACATTTTTGTTGCCTCTTCTGGACTTTCTCCAATTGGTGCACATTTTTCCAGTCTTTCTAGGCATTAAGGTATAGAACTCACAATGGCCACGCATTTAGGCAGAAGATCAGTGCCACAGCTTTTGCCTCATCCTGTTGCATCTAGCTTTTGCCTCAATTTTTCACTCTTCTTGTCTGTCCTACTGTGTTTCTGAGAGGCAGCCTGACCCATAGATTCTCCTGTGTTATACAGTCGGTAATCCCTAGATACAGCGGAACCAGTGCATTTCTGCTGCATGAGATGAAGGTGGGCTCACAGCAGCTGTGCAGGAGGGAGACCCATTGACCCCTGCTGTGCCTCCCCGTGCAGATTTTGGAGGTAGCATCAATACATCTACTCCTAATCCACTGGCCTGCCTCCTGAATGTGGGGGAGGGGTGCAACTGCCACAGGGATTCCTGCAGCCCTAGCACTACAATCGCAGTCATGGAGCAGTCCTGCTACCCCTCCACACATGGGGGAGAGGAGGAGATTCTTTCCTCCCCACTTCCTGTGCTAAGTCCACCTATTCCTGCTTGGCAGCAGTGGCACCAATTCAGATATTTCCGGGGGGAAAGGCTTTCGGAGGAGGAGGGGGAAATTCTGGTCTCCCCACTCTCACCCTCCTGACAGAGACTCTCTGTTCTGGTCCCCACTCATCTGATCCCCTAGCAGGGCTCCCCAGGTCTCCCTCAGGCTAAGAGCCTCCCCTCTCTCTTATCCACACAGTGCATGAGATGGTGCCACCAGGAGTCGAGTTCGCAGCACACTCCCCTGTGCTCTGCTTACAGGAACACACTCCCCATGCACAGGGCCGGCTCTAGGCACCAGCAAAACAAGCTGGTGCTTGGAGCGGCACATTTTTAGGGGCGGCATGGCCGGCACCAGAATGCCGCCCCTAAAAATGTGCCCCGGCCGCCCTAACTCACCTCCGCTGCTGCTGCCACGGCGCGCGAAACAGCTGATTCGC